TTCAAGTTTCTATGCCATTAAATTTTTAAAACACTTTGAATACTTTTATGATTATTTAATTCAAATTATGTTAATAACTATAATTCTAACTTCATGCAATTGATAAATGTTGAATAACGAGCCACAGCTCTCAGTCCGAACTAATTCTAGGTTCATGAGAAACTATCCAAGATCTACCATCGATCTCCATACAATTACCATTATCCTTAATCTTTTGGATCTCAACTACGCAAGATTTATGAATTTTTCTTAATGTTCTCATTCCCGAAGCTAAGATGATCGCCAACAACGATACTATTGAAGAATATTGAATTAATCGCGAGATATAATTGAGAGATATGTATAGAGACTTCTTCTGTCTTCCCGAATCTCTTTGGACTTGTTGGGCCTGAGAATTCACCATGCGTATCATAATGACGGATATAAAATTTCAATAATGTTATTTATAAAAATCTGTCTAGATGGCCGAATCGAGACAAAGATACTCAATATCTTTGAGAATAATTCAAGTATAACATGAAGATACTCAAATGAGATCCTGTCGTGTGTCTTCAGAAATTTCATAGTGATCATTTGGGTCAATTTAGCAAAAATGAATAAGAAATTCGAATAATTTTACAATTCTTTTAAATTAGTTTTTTTATATCAGATTGTACAAAAAGAATTATTCGGATGACAAAATATTCTTACAAATTAACTCTTTAAACAATTACATTTTTGAGTAACAAGAAAGCTAATATTAATTAATTACTTTAAAGGACAAGCTTAATCTATTGAGCTTAACATCAATATCTACCTATTTTTGTGCAGTAGATTTTGTAAACAGTGTTAGATAAAGGTAATATTGACCTGTCTCTTAGAAGCTTATTTTACAGAATAAATGTAATTAGTCAGATTTAGTTAAATGTAATATATTACTGCATTTTTTCAACTATCGAGCAATCTGATCATTTTACTTCAAGTGGTGCTATATAGAAGCTCTTCAGATCATTTTTCTACTTCCGAGAACTAAGAATTCTGATTTTTGTTTCTCAAACCTTTAAATGAAATTATTCAAATGTTCACATTATTTCATACAATTTAATATGAACAATATATAAATTTATATAAATTATCAAATTTGCGTTATATGATGACAAATTCCAGAATTATAAAATATTTTGTTTTCCCCAATTTAATCAACTTTCTATTTATTTTAAACTATGATCTAGCCGCAAAGACATCTGTAATTATTGTTCAGAAACTATTTTCCCATGAAGACTAACTCAATATACACACATTCCTAAATCGTGTAATTCCGAATCCAATAAAATTTCATTATTTTTGCTCAATGCGAACTTGTTGACATTCTTCTGTCGCAAAATTGTGAAAATAGATTCGTTTAATTTGTTTTCATTCATCAAAATAAAACAAATAATATCACGTTACGCGGATTATAAATGTGTAGTCTTCATTCTCGGAATATACTTTCAAGAATTTAATTTGTTTATATAATTTATATTTATATTTTCAAACGGCCGCGCTACAAAGAATGCATTTGAATCGTTGAAGGTCTTTCTGTTGTTGGTATATTTATTATTTTAACTAGTGCATGACACCCACGTGAATTTCATTATGAGAGACGGTAAATTCAAGTAGCTAATTTGTTCTAAAATAAACAAAAGCCTCCTAGGAAGTCGATTATTTTGTCAATTAAATCACTAAGTCATTATCGACAAAGTTGTATAGGAAGTAAATGATTAATTGGTCCACTACCAATATCTCAAAAACATGTAAGTTAGAATTTTTTAACAATAATTGAAAGTAGAGGGCGACGAATGTGTAACCAGCCATCGCCTAAAATCAAGCAACGTCAACATCAGGAGATAAAAGACTATGTTTGGAAATCTATAACAAAAGATTAATCCTTCGTTGTTATTCATTTTTGAGTGTGAGTACTGTTGTTTAGTGTTTGCTATCATACATCCTAACTATTATTTTCTCGAGGTGGCAACCCAGTGGTCAACCAATCTTCTTTTGTATCTGTAGACATTATATTTCAGAAATGTATATCTAATAGTGCTAGCGTATATGAAACGCAATAGTTTGCATAACTATTATTAAAATTATGATTTTTTTTTAAAAACCTTTTTGATAAATATTTCTCAAATAACTAATAAAATTGTTCAAAAAGCGGTTATCAATCTGTCGACAAACTCTTAATACTTATTATTGCAATAAAATATCACTACACCCTCGAATAAAGCTTAATTTTTATGTCTTAGAATTGATTTTTATACCACATTGAGTTTTAATTTAATGAGTTATAAAATTAGAATAATCCGTTAATGCCGTTTTAAAAAGTAATAATGGCGTTATTATATTAGATTTTAACTATCTGAAGTACGTGATAATTATAAATATGTACTAAGAAAATGTAATAAAATGTAACTAAGTCTGGAACAAAAAGGTCTCCTAGCTAAAAAAAAAAATAACATTGAAGTCCAACATAGGAAATGGATACAGGATAGAAAATTCTGATCACATATGTTAATTTGTTTGAAAAAAATTATTACTCGATCTGCGCAATTATGCAAAAAATATTTAAAAACACATATAAAAAAACTACATCTTATAAACAGTATTGCACAAGTATCGCTCATAAATATTTTTATTTGCTTATTAATTATAATGATTTGAAATATTTTGAATATTTACAGATATAAGACAGGATTTGTCTAACTTTTAACAAAAAAAACGTTTATCATTAATTGAAAGCGAAAATATTTATTTTTATGGACATTCACAAAATATTGTTTATGGTATATCAGATCGAAATTATTATTAAAAAAAATATTTTGCAAAATTTAAGTGGCTAATGCAATTTTTAATTATTAAATATAATATTTTATTTTCTAAAATTTATTAACTTTTTATAATATTTTCGAACAGACTTTGCAAAAAAATAAAGTAAATCGTTAAGGATATCAACTCAC